TTATATATAAAGCTGAATGTGTGTCTGTATGTCTGTACGTATGTGCGGAATAGAAATTTTTGTTTCTGAACCAATTTGGACCAAACTTGGCACACATATACTTCGTGGCAGGGAGCGTGTCATAGGCTACTTTTCGTCATCGATCGATATCGATTTTATCGATTTTTGCAAAATTTGAGCGACGGGGCTGGGAGTTGGCAGAGGAGAGTAATCGAGCATGCTGATTACAAATATATTATTAACAGGGCCGGGCGGAGCCGGGTTCGCCAACTAGTTATTCATAATCAGCATCCTCATTTACTCCCCCCCCCTGTACCAACTTCCAACCTCGTAGCTCGAGATTTTGAAAAATTGGCAAAATCGATAAAGTGAATCTTTATTCATAATCAGTACCCTCACTTATTCCCCTGTACCATAATCAGCACCCTCACTTACCCCCTTGTACCAACTCCCAGCCCCGCAGCTCAAACTTCTCCAAATATCGATGAAGGTGGTCGTTTGACAACTAGTCTATACATCAGCAAGAAGTATTTTACCCATTGTTGGACGACCAAAAAGCAGCCAATATAAATTTTGATCAAAACTTATTCTAAAAGTACAGAATGCAGGGCATTCATCTCTCTAGTAAGCTGTACACGCTAAACATTTATGGTAAGCTAGCGTTGTATTTGAAGACATCTGGCAACTGGTAACTAACTGGCAAAACGCGTACGGCGACCTTAACGTTTAATCCTCCACTACAACTGCGATTCTTTTACTCAAAATACACCAATTCGCAAAAAATCTCTAAGGTAGCAAATAGAGGCAGTTGTGAAATATAACTTATGCGAGCAAGACTGCTTACTAGTGCGAACTTTGCGTACCACAAGCATGAGCAATGCAAAGAAAGAAAAACAGGCAATTTCATAACACTTACAATATATGAACTCGGAACATGAGCTTAAATTTGATAGCTACTTTGCTGATTTAGTGCCAATAGCAGTGCAAACAATCTCATTGATCGAAAAAGCATCAATTAAAATCCACATATGATTTTTTTACTGTCGCAAGCAGTCGACAGTCGAAAGAATGCGACTGACCATACAGTTCAGAGATCCCAACGGTTGCAAGAGATGCATTACCGAGTTTTGCGAAAAAAAACGCGGACGAATTGAGCTTGATACTCAGCTCTGACTACGGAGTTCATTCGAATACGAATTCAAATAAAGATTCGAATAAAACATTCGAATGAAATCTATTCGAGACGCCGTTTTTTGATTATTCGAGTTTTCGAATAACATTTGAATCCTTGTTTTTTGATTATTCGAGTTTTCGAATTTTATTCGAAGCCCTGTTTTTTTTTGATTATTCGAGTTTCGAATTTTATTCGAAACCCCGTTTCCTCAATTGTTCGAATTTCGAATAATATTCGAAAATGGCAGAGCTCCGAATATCGAATTTCGAATACGAATATATTTGAATGGTTTATTCGAATGACCTAGTTTACTATGAAGTCGCAACATCACACACTTTCACTTTCAAGATTTATATGAGGCTCCCGCCAGAGTGCCGAAGTTATGCCAGCGCTACGCCAGCATTTCGATCGATACACGTGTATTTTGTTGGGGCGGGGCTAGCTGACGTCCCCAACGAAATACACATGTATCGATCGAAATGCTGGCGTAGCGCTGGCATAACTTCGGCACTCTGGCGGGAGCCTGAGTTTAACTGTCAGCTGTCATTAACACGCTGAGTGGCCTAAATTTTTGAAATTCTGTTTCTCGGCGACCCTTCTTAAATCGAACTGATTTTTTCATTATCTGATAAAGCACCATTTACTCTTCAAAACCTATGAAGTCGCAATTGCTGACATCTTCAACCGCAAGATTTATAAAAGTGGAAATTTCGCATTTCGCATAATTAATCGTTATTTTATTATTCAAAATTCTGGTTCTCGGCGATCATTACCTGGATCGACCTACTTTCTTCACAGTACATCATGACAAAATCTTAATAAACCGTACAGTCATGCTAACTTTTACTTCCAAATACACTATTTACTAAACACGTTTATTTCAAATATATATTAGGTTGGCACGAAAGTTCTTGCGTAATTCAAACAAAATTCAATAACTTTTTAAAGACTTAACCTAAATTCACAATCTTGTATGCTAAAAATATTAAAAGTCTTACGCTTCATGATGGATGTTTAAGCATAAGATTCCGTGAGCTGGACATCAAGAACAAAGCTCTCGAATATGGGGCTTCAAATTTTGCGATTTTGAGTTTGGTGCCAGGAAATCGCAGAGTGCAGCTAGCTAGCCGAAAAAAAATCTGTAGAATTTACTTACACAACAAAAGTCCATATGTTACTTTGGAAGGCTTTGATCTTGCACGGTGAAGCAAAAACAAAAAATTCGTGAACTAAGTCATGTTGCGGAAAAAATCCCCTCATGTCCGCAGTTTTCCGGCGAAAACACTTTTTTACAACCGAGAAAACGTCACAAGGCTCTAAATAGGCACTATGTCTAATTTCTTGTTGCAAGCTGTGTTTCTGTGGAAAAGTTAGAGCGATAAGGGGATTTGTCCTGTGAAATGAGAATTTTCACAAATTTTTTATTTTCGCGTTTCCATGCGAGATCAAAGCCTGCTAAAACAACGTATGGACTTTAGCTGTGTAAGTAAATTCTACAGATTTTTTTTCGGCTAGCTAGCGGCACTCTGCGATTTTCTGGCACCAAACTCAAAATCGCAAAATTTGAAGCGCCATATTCGAGAGCTTCGTTCTTGATGTCCAGCTCACGGAATCTTACGCTTGAACATCCATCATGAAGCGTAAGACTTCTAATATTTTTAGCATACAAGACTGTGAATTTAGGTTTAGTCTATGGAAAGTTACTGAATTTTGTTTGAATTACGCAAGAACTTTCGTGGCAACCTAATATGTCGCCGCATACATAAAAGTGCTTTCAATAATCTTTTTCGCGTTTCTTTTGCTTATTTTCCTTATTTATCGTCCAACAAAAAAATTTTTCATTCCAACGTGAAGGTGGTCACCCTGTACCAGCTCAAAAGTGAAGGTAGGGGGAGAATCGGCTCCCACTATCGCACCTCTACGCAAGGTTATCACACAGTGCATTTCAGGCGTTAAAGTTTCCGATAAGCACTGCTGGGTAGTGCTGCTTCTGTAGCTTATCGAGCGCTTAAAAGTAGCCGGGATTTTTTCGAAAGTAGAAGGCCGATGAATTTTGAGATAATTACCAACTTTCACTCCCGTTAACCCTAAAATGCGAAGCTATCTTGCTAAAGAAATGGGATTTTTGAGACAGCAGGTCAGATAACCTCTTCTGAGCAAGTTTCAAATCGGATCACTTGATTTTTTTTTTCTTACGCTCTGGAGCCCTTTGGTTGAGGCAAAGTGTTGATGATCTGATCTTGGACTTAACGAAACTTCCTATGTAAAGGTTTTCAGACACATTGCTTACGAAAATCGTAGTACACAAAATCTTTTGGAAGAAATATGGTGAGGTAGCTGTAACTAAACCACGAATGTTTGCAAACTGCCTGCAATTCTCGAGTATCTTGACGAAATTTGCCTGCTTGCCTCTATGATATTTTCCTTTTTTACATACAGCACGACTACGAGCGAACAAAATAAATGAATAAATAAATGTGGTAGCTTTGTGTGCTTCAGCGACTTATTGGTTACCAGCAGCTTTGTGGCTAGAGCTTAGACCTATCTAACTACCATAATCAGTGCAGTAGGATCCCATCACAGTAGTGTACATAAAATTTGCAGTCAGCATGTTATGCAACCACTCACGAGGGAATTTTTGATGACGTATGCAATCTTTACATCTTGGGTAGTACATGAGGGCTTTATTTCGTAAGCTCGTAACACGTAAGTAGAGCCAGAGACATGCACCCTTTGATAGTACAATTCTAATGACTTCAAGCTATAAAAACAAGCAGGCAAGTCCTCTTACAGATACGAGAAAAGAGCAGGCGAGTTTACGAATTCCTTGGCTTAGTTACAGCTACCTCACTATAACTCTGCCAAAAGACCATGTACTCTATAGAGGCCACGATTTTCGTAAACAGCGAGCTCGAAAACACCTAGGGGGCAAAGTTTTTTTTCAAAATCACCAACATCAACCCCGATCTGACGAGCTTTAAAATGTAAAACGAGAAAAAATCAAATGTTTCGAACTTCTTGGAAAACTCTCATAGAGATTATCTAGCCTGCTGAACACAAAAATCACATGTGCTTAACGGGATTAGCTTCATATTTTGGATTATGGTGAGTATAGTTTGTGAAGACATAATTTTTCCACGGTTCACATCCTAAAAAATATTCGGTTATTTTTTAGACAACCTACGGAAACAGCACTATTCGAATGTGCTTATTAAATGTTTTAAGCATGATGAGCGCTGCACGACACTCTTACAAAAAGACATCAACAGAAAAACCTAGGAAAATTGAAGACGGAATATCAAGACGTTCCGAATATTAAAAGATCTGCCTTGACAAGCTCAATGCTTCAATCAAAATATATCAATCCCGAAGTAAGTTATAGCGCTGTAATTTGAGTGATCCGCATGATTTTAGGGAATACACGATTATCGCGCAATCGCCCGAGTTGCGCGATCAGGAATGCCGCAAAATATCGCGTCATTTTCGAAATTTCCGCACATTTCATGAGCGGTCACTTTACAGCGATGAAAACAGCATGGAGTTTGACGCGCAGTTTTTTGTAATAAAGTAAACGTCTGCAGTCTATCGCGACGGCAGGCACAGCGCGAACAATTAGTCTTCTCTTCAAGGCCTATACGTCGCATGCACCATGGTTGCAGGTAAGTGCGGAAATATATCTGAAAGATCGAAACCAACTATATAACTTCAACCATTCAATATGAAGCTTCCCCCGAAGAACGAGTATGCAGTTCCCAGATAAAATTTTCAAAACTTCCAATTTATATAATGTTTAGTCTCTAGTATTTTGACCATCCCTTACTTCTAGAGCGTTGAATTACGGGGGTATTGGAGCAATCGTCGGGCACGAAATGACTCACGGCTTTGATGATACAGGTAATCACGTTCTGTGTTAGCGGTTAAAAATCCATACACCTAATTTCTTTGTTTGCTTTAAAGTCTCTTGGTTCTCTTATTATAGGAAGAAAATATGATGCCTACGGCAAATATCGCAATTGGTGGAGTGAAGACTCAAAGGAAAAATATGAGCAGCGAGCTCAATGTTTCGTCGACCAGTACGGAAAGATTGAGGTCAGCGAAGCTTATTGAAGAGTTTTTTTTAGCACTAACAAGAGTGAACTAAGGTACCAAAAACTGGACGCAAAATTGATGGTGAGCGCACTCTGGGAGAAAATATTGCTGACAACGGGGGAGTGAAGCTAGCGTACGGGGTAAATCTCTTGATCTGATTCAGTAAGCATGCATATATTGCGTTTGTTTAGGCTTACAAAGCTTTTCTGCAAAAGCATGGTGGTGAAGAAGACAGGATCAAAGGTCTTGAACAATTCGACAACGACCAGATGTTTTTCTTGGGCTGGGCTACGGTAACCCTTTATGTTACACGAACTTAGGAAAGTGAGTACGGTCACGCTTGAGGCCTGGTGCGAACATAGAACAAATAAAGAACTAACCAACCAAATCCTCAGCGATGATCATTCCCCGGCACGATATCGGTAAGTGAAGCCAGTTTCATATGCGCCTTTGCAAGAGTACACTTTCAGCGTCAACCAAGTGCTGGCTAATCAGCGTGAATTCGCTGCTGCCTTTAACTGTAATGTTGGCAGTGCCATGAACCCCACCAAGCGTTGCGATCTCTGGTAGTCGTAGAACTACGTTAGAGAGCCGATTTATAGAAGTTTATCAATATTTGAGAGATGCAAAATTACAAAAATGTTGACGATGACAGGTTGCTGCTAGCCACATAGATGTTGTGATTCTCTTAGTATGTTGCTGCTCGTTGTTGTGATTGCGATTTTACGAATCATAGCTTGCATTCTCTTTAAAAAAACTGATTAGTCGAGTTGCAATCACGCACCGGGTGTTTTCGCTGAAACTATGAGAAATGTCATAGAAGCAAAAATGCTTGTTATTGTGTTCCCTCAGTATTGAAATATTATGGTTAGAGATCAAAAGTTTACAACTCAACATTTTTACAAATTATAATAGAATGTTAAAAAATGAGTTTTCCTGTCGTTCACCGACTATTCATTCATCCTTTGCATTGAGGAAGCTACACAAAAGATTTCTATAATATTTTAGGTTGTTTCGAAAGTTTCGTTGGTTTCTTTGATCGTTCAAGAAAATTCAAACAACGTCGACTTGGGCACCGTTCGATTCACATTTCTACGCTCTTTCTATCTGCTTTTTGGCTAGTTGTCGCGACTAGCGATACACGCGCTGCTAAAAGTATGGAGGCAGGGAGCACCGGTTGATTCGCACATCCAGTTGCGAATGCGGTCTTCAGCTTCACAATCACCGCCGAACCCCTCCTTGCTGGCACGTAGCCGAGAAAACGGCTGTATAAGGCAACCGCACCTTATTTGCCTGCCTGACCACTTTCGTCTTTATCAATTGCTTTTGTTCGTGATTTCAATAATGCATCATCGTGCCTTAAGCTTCCGCATTGGATGTATTCTTGTTGTGAACCAAGCGGTAGAAGCAATGCACAGAGTTTTGAGAAAGTTTGAACGTAGTTCGCGCAATGTTGAAAGCAACCCTTTTGGATTTGTTGTTGAACTAGAATTATCGGGAGAGGAAAGGGTTGCTCTTTTCCTTCAAGTCTGGACGACTAGCGACGACTTGTTAGGTGAGGAAGTCTGGGAGGTTGATAATTTAAGTCGAGCGAGGACATCGGTAGCATGGGGCGATGTAACCTCCCCGTGCTTTTCCTTTCACTGTTGATGGTAATATTGCAGTGTAAGTCCTTTGTGTTTAAAGAAAAATGCAATCAATTTGGTCGGCTCTCTTTCCTAATTAGCACTTACCGCTATCATAAATTATTAAGTGGTTGGGCAGTCCACGGCATTGACCGGTAAGGCGTCCTGAACCTTAACGGACGCGCAACATCACTAGGGACAGTAGGGACCTAGTATGTAGATGCGGCGAGCAGCTGCGGAAGGTGCTGATCACACCGAGCCGCCACACTATTTCAAAAAATTTATTTTTTTACTTTCAAAAAAAAGTAGCTAAGTTTTGAATAGAGCAAATCTTGGGCTATGCGGCAGTGTCTTCAGATTCGTCTTCTGATGCTAGAAACTTTAAAGAAATATTTCTTTGAGGGTGTCGCTGTTTGAAGGTTATAAAACATGCAACTGCAACAAAAATAGGAAAACTGCAAGTTTTTGTGAATTGAAACAAGATTTTTATCATTATTTTTACAAAGAAGTGTGGCGCAGTGCGCCGGAGTGCGGCGGAGTGTGGTGAAGTGCGCCGCACTCCGCCACACTCCGCCGCACTCCGGCGACTTTTTTGACGAATTATGAGCAAAATTGTATATGAAGTGAGTGGAAGGAAATATACATATATTAGGTGTATAATAACATCAAAAAGTGGGCGGGGCTTACAATTCACAGCTAAACAGCGATAAAATCGATATTTTGAGCTTAGAGAACTATCAAACCTCAAAAATCGATAAAATCGACATTCTGGAGGTTGCAAAATCCCGAAAATTGGCGAAAATCGATATTTTGGAGGTTGCAAAATCCCGAAAATTGGCGAAAATCGATATTTTGGAGGTTGCAAAATCCCGAAAATTGTCAAAAATCGATAAAATCGACATTTTGAAGGTTGCGAAATCCCGAAAATTGACAAAAATCGATATCCCAAAAATCGGCAAAATTGATAAAATCGATATTTTGAAGGTTGCAAAACCCCAAAAATCGGCACAAATCGATAAAATCGATATTCTGGAGGTTTCGAAATTTCGGAAATCGGTAAAATTATTGAAAAACTAAGCGAAAAATTCGAAAAACTCCATAATAAGCTCATTTCCAGTGCTTTCATACAGCTGAAACTTTTCCTAGCAAGCTCCGCCCACTTTATACCCCACGCCACGATCGAAAGAAGAAAATAAGAAAAATTAAGAAAAAATAAGCGAAAATCGCGTTTTTCTAGCCCGATTTACCCCCCTTTTTAGCCGTTTTCAGCCCCTAACCAGGTCCAGATGGCCGCGGGAAAACTGTACACGAAGCGGTAATAAAGAGAGGGGGAAAAATAAGGGGGGAGAGAGAAAGGGGGGGAGAAAGAGGAAAAATCGCGTGTCTAAGTTTTTTTTTTTTTTTTCCAAGTCCGGGAAGGTTCGATAGGCTCCCACAGCCGGAGCCCCTACATTTTCTCCGAATTATATGTGGTGTCCCCCTCGAATACAAACTGAAGAATGGCTATCCCAGCTCGTCATCCCTACTCTCCGCGGAGATAAAATTCAAAATATGCACTATCGCCTTTATATAGCGCCTCTTACGCTGGAGCTGTGAGCACGAGCTACCCCTAGAAAAATAGAGCTAACAAAACTACATGTCAATGGCCACATGAGATTACCCCAGCCCTGCAACTCTTAGAGATATAAGGCGCCGAAATCGCCCTTATTGACAGATTTTCCAAGTTCGGCTGTCAATTAGGCACTTTTAATGGAAATTTGTTATTCTACGACCTTCTCTCTAAAAATCATATTTTCAGAGATCTGTCGAATAAAACAAACCCCAGCCCCGTAGCTGTAATATTCGCAGAGTTATTAGCCCCCCAACATGCATGCTCAGGCCGTAAAATCGGCTCTCCCAAAGTTGCTCCGTAATTCCCCCAAAAATCATGTTAGACACCTCTCTTATACCTATACACACCATATTTTTTCCAGCTTCTTAGAAGCAATACACACTGATATAGCGCGCTCTTGGCCTCTCGCTTCTCACTCTTGGCCTCGGCGTAAGATTTGGTTAAAATATTGAAGTTCTCGGATTGACTGTAAACTTCACTCATAGTGGTTTTTGGTCCCGATCTTTACGAAAATCCTATTTATTTTGCACTAGAGAGTCTTACAGTAAGCTAAAGTGAGATAGAAGTAGCTGGACCAACCAAGATCGCAACTTCGCCTGCACTTTTTCCCTACCTGTTGCGGAAATTGTCTGCAAATTTTTGTGAGTTGAAAACTTTGTGAACACCTCTATCGGACCATGCTTAGCACAGATCTTTATTTGAATTGTTCGTCAGATTATGATGTTACAAAATCGCCTTCTCATGAATTGTCTTTCAAATTCGAAGGTCGTGTAATTTGGCAGATATTCTATCCTACAATGTGCCACCAGCAGCAAAACAATATAAGAAATGTTGTTAGCACGTCGAGTACAATACCGCTTACAGAATGTGCAAAATTTCCCTGAATATCGCAAAATTCCGAAAATTCCATAACAGACTGCTCTACATACAATACCGCTCATAATTCGTCAAAAAAGTCGCCGGACTGCGGCGGAGTGCGCCGGAGTGCGGCGGAGTGTGGTGAAGTGTGGCGCAAAAGTAATTTCGCTTTTTTCAGACGGGCACCACATTTGACGGAATAAAGATTTCAAAGAGATCTTTGAAGTATTCGATGCAGAATCTCATTTTCTTTCTAATGGTTATAAAACTGTTGCAAAACTGTCAATGAGCTTTCAGAAAATAATCAAAATCTGCGACCCATGCTTTTTGAGATGGTCAAGTTTCACAATTTGTCAAAACTTTCATATCAATCCTCAGAAGGAGTCAAGTAAGGATTCGATAGAGTAAACCTTATAGAATACAGCAGTACTTTTATCTCTTTTCCATAGCTTGTCATACATTTTTGACAGAATTTTAACTGATGCTGCTGATTTCCATACTTGTGCAGCTAAATCCTCGTAAAATATCAAAAAAAGAGCAGCTCGCGCAGCATTCGATGCAGCATTTTCTCCTCTTTTTAACAGGTGTTTTTTTGTTTCCGATTCGTTTAGATTCCGGAGAGAAATCATCATGACTCATTTTTTTTTTCTCGAAAATCATAACTTTTCTAGGAGGGGCTCCATCAGCGCGAATTTTGCTTACATAAAAAGAGGAGATCAGAAAACTTAGGATAATGGTTGTTTTGGATTTTATGGCACGGTTTTGGATTTTTTAACGGGCCTGCTTAAAAATTCGGAACTTGAAGTGATTTCCCTTTTCCAATTTTATCTCTACAGTGCGAGCTTAGTAGATAACAGCCAAGACAGTTTTGGAAAGCGCATGAATTGCTCTTTCCAAAAAGGTTTTAGCCATACAGAAACATTATGTTAGGAGGAAGTTATGATTTTTTGAAAATGGTGGAACAGAACTTTCGGACCAACCTAATATATATATTAGGTGGTCCCGAAAGTTTTGTCGGTTTTTTTAAACCACTATAAAACCACGCACAATGAAGACTTGAATGAGCTTCATATGCATTCGATGCAGCTTTTCCTTCTCTTTCTTGTGGACACCTTTTCGAACCAGAATCTTGTATGCTTTTTTTGATAATTGCCAAAACTCTCTACCCGTCAGTTTTATCTGCTCATAGTTGGGCTAATTTTCAATAATTTCATTCCAAAGTTTCAGAAAAGGTTTAGCATGGATAAAATAGACCAATTCTCGGGTTACAAGGAACTATTTTTAGATCCTCCTAACCTGCTGTTTTTAGCTCTAAAAAATTATTTTTTCGAAAGTCTCGATTTTTGGCAAAGTCATGAAACGCGCAACTGCAGCAAAAACATAAAAGCTTTCAAAGTTTTCGCGAATTGAAACTTGTTTGTTATTAAACATTATTTATGCAACATACCAAGTTTAATTTGCTTCAAAAATCTGCTTTTTGGAATTTT